AGGATAGACACACCGCTGTATTCGCACGAAACGGCTGCCCAGGTCCTCCTCTCACCCCTTTACAGTGTGCAAATCAGGACACCCCAACCCTTCCCTGGCAGTCCCCGCTCCTCCCGTGCTGCACCCAGACCAAGTGCCCGAGCAGGGCCAGGAGCCACTCAGGTTGTTAATCTGAGCATCTGCAGCCAAAATTTCTTCCATCTGACCCGTGGCATCGGCCTTGCAAGGAGCCCGGTCCCGCTGAGCCCTCTGGGGTTGCAACCAAAGCTTCGAGCCAAAGCGGTTCACAGCGGGACAGGAGCACCCTGGGGGAGGCGAGAGCAGAGCGGGTCCCTGTCCGCTCACGGAGCAGCACAAAGAGCACAGAGAGGGGATGAATAATTAACTGCATATGACACAAAGAGTAATAAGAAGAGAAGCGATACTGGGGCCTTTGTGAGGCAGTGGAAAAATAACCTATTTAGAGAAACAAGAGTTATGTGATATTCTCATGCCGTATTATTTTTCCGTAGCCCTCAGGAAACCCAGCCTCCAGCCCGCAGCAAACCGGCTCCTCTTCCGCGGGGACGGTGGCTGCTGCCGTGCCCCGGCCTGGAGCGCACCCGGCACAGCTCCGCCAGACCCCGGCAGGAGCGTTGGCACGGGGGCTTTGGGCCAGCAATCGCTTCACATCGCCTCTGCCTTGTCCTGACGGGGTCAGACGCCTCCTGCCCATTTCACCCTCGGTTTGGAACTTGCTGCCCCAGGGGTGCACAAGACTCCTCCAAAAGAGCCATTTTTCCCCAAAAAATTTAATGCTGAATTTTCCATCTGTTGCGTAAGGGCCTGAGCACACGCCGGATTAATCCCTCATGGGATCGCTCAGCCTCAGCAAGCGCTTTTTGAACAGCTATTGATTTTTTTTCCCCTTTTTTTTTTTTTCCTTAATTATGTTCTTGCAGTTTTCCCTTCCCTGCCTTCAGCTGCACCGGTCCCCACACACACAGTTCCTTCCCCCTGCACCCCCTAAGTACCCCCCTAGAAGCAGCTGCAGCCGTGGGGAGCAGACAGGGCGGCTGGAGGAGGCGAGAGGGATTACGGCACAGTCTGGGCGTTCGGTTCTGGCGGGGGCTCGTGGTGGAACCCAGAGATGCCGCATTGCCCACACGATGCCCGCAATCGCAGCTGCCCCGTGCGCTGGCACAGCCGCCCATCATGGGGAGCATCACCAAGCATAACCCCCACCCTGGGGCTGGGGGGTGAGCAAAGGGCTGTCACCTGCGCCACACGCTGGGGACAAGGCTTTGTTTACAGGGTGATGCCCGCCTGGAGCGCATGCGTTCGTGCCTCTCCCCCACCCCGACTTCCACCCCGCGCTCTGCCCACCTTGTGCGTGCAAAGAGCAGCTCCTGATGAGGGTGGGATGACTCGGATGTCCCCTGCCTCCCGCTGGGAATTGCACACAGCTTGGGACCAAGGTTTTGTACCATGTCTCTGCTCCAAGAACCGCAGCCGGTCGGTGTGTGCCCACGGGGCGCGTACCCTCTAGTTTGCAGTAACACGGATCTCCGCCGCCGGCGAGGCTGGGGGAGCCACTTCTCCGGGGCTGCGGGTACCAACGGCTAACAAACGC